TTTGAAAGATTTTTATTGAACAAAAATTCAATTTGATACTTTAAAAATTAGTATATATTGTTCTAAACACAAAAGAGCTCAAAACATCAAAATAAGTAAATAACATAAATAAAAAAAGGTTTACTGTTATTTAGTTTGGTTCAAAACCTACAAAATCTTCATTGCTTTCACTGTAATTTATTTTTTTATTATTTAGGGAGCATTATAAATAGTTATGTTTTTCAAAGAAAAAACCTACTATTGTTATAAATAACACATTCAATTGAACTAAACTATGCATGCATATTTAAATATATTTATACATGGCTTGTGTATATTGTATAAATACATATATATATTATTAATACCTTCGGTATATTGGATGCAAGCAGATTTTGACATCAAATTTTTGGGTAAAAAGTGTCTTATACACCGAAAAATACAGTAGTTTATTTTGTATTGTAAGATATTATTGCAATTTTCAGTTAAACTGAGCTCTAGTTTTATAAAAAGTAATAAAAATATGGCCATGCAATATTTCATCAGGTAAGATGATGACCTAAGTAGTGTTGAAACGCTGCATGTGTGTATTTCTCTGTAGAAACAATGAAGTATAGTGTTTTTTGTGATTAAAGCAATACAAGTATTGTTTTTATGCATATATTCTGAAGAACAATTCCAAAATACATGAGGATGAGTGTTGCCCAGTAGTTAGTTGCCAAACTGTGGATCTGCAGGTCCATTGTTCATGTTCCATTATTGCAAAAAAAATGAACTAATGCTTTGTACTTTTGAGCTATGGATGTGTTATAAGGGTAACAGTCAAATTGCACTATTCAATTTGCAGTAGGTACTTTTAACTAACTGTCATCTCTGTTCTATCAGTTAAAAGTTAGAGATGGCTATCATAGATGCTCTTTGAGTGTCTGTGCAAATATCCGATAACAAACAAACCAAAATATAGAAATAAAGAAGTAAAATACTCTAGGCTGATACATTTAATTGCTAATGAGATTGTTACATCTGATATTTGATAAAATTTTAATTTGGTTGAATGTAATTTTTAAGGTTGTTGCAGTTATACACACTGAATTAAAAGTAGTAGCAACATATTTTGGCAGGAGTCGAAATTAGTGCTAGTTAATTATAAACTGTTGGTTAGTGTTGCAGGTCTCGGCGATATAGTCATTCGTGTGGTCCCTGAGGCAAAGTTCTTGGGGCTTATCTTTGACCGTAAGCGTAGCTTCATTCCACACATCAAGCAGCTGCGTGTCAAGTGTGCAAGGGCTCTGAACAT